GGTTGCGAAGCTGCCCGCGGCCTCTGCAGCCCCGGTTCGATCCCCGGCTGCTCCCCGGCCACCAGGTGAGGGTCCCACATGGCACGCAGACCTCTCCTGCCTCCCGCTGCTCCCCTCAGCAGTGTCCTTCAGTCCTTCTGCCTGCTCTGCTCCCGGCTCTGGCTCTGGTGAATTCTCTCACCCTCCCGCGCTTCTGACTGTACCCAGTGCATGGATAGATAGATAGATAGATAGATAGATAGATAGATAGATAGATAGATAGATAGATAGATAGATAAGTAAATCTTTAAAAAATAAATAAAAATAAAAATACATTTATGCTCATATTTGGTTTAATATTCCACTTTTGATTATTTCATAAGTAATACTAACCTACTGGCTTTCTTTGTTATTGCTTGTTTTAGCTATCAAGTCGGTTTTATATACCTGCTCTTTCTATCCTATAGAAGACAGAACATGCCAATTCCCTGAGGAGGTCCTTTCAATTATCAAAGAAGTCACATGTTCCCCCACCTCTGAAACTCAATTCTCTTGCAGACATTCTGTCATATAAAAAACATTCTGTCATATAAAAACATTTGCTGACTTAATAATAAATTACAGTTCAAGTAAAAAAGTTTATCCCTCAAAAAAGAGAATACCTAAACTAAGGGATTCCCATGTGAGGTGAAGTTTAGGGTGAAATGAAACAAAACTGTAACTTTACAAAGCAGAGAATACGCTTATAAAATGTCTTAACTACCAAGGGAAAATTCAAATATAAGGATCACTATATTTGAGAACCTCATTTCAAAGTTAAGGTTAACAACAAAGGTTTACTGCCAACACAACAGTTGGTCTTGACGGTAATGGTTATTTTTCCACAATAGTCTTTATCATCACTAAGCAATATTCATTGGTATTGCTCATGCTCTTGTACATTAGTGCAATGAGGGCACAAATCCTCAAAATCTTGATTCTAACACCAGCAGTCGTCCTCAGAAATAACCTTTTTCCAGTACTTTATTACACAAAAAGTAACAAAGGGACACAAAAACATTCTCATCCACTACACATAAACACTCTAACCCTTTTTCCAAGAATGCTGGCTCCTCTTTTCAGACACCAAACTACAGCAAAATGAGCAGAATACTCAGCCCCCACTCCAAGATAAGAAGGCTACCTGGTACTGAAAAGATCAAATGTGTCACTGCCACCATTCTCTCTTCCACGCACGGTTTCAGAAAGGACAAGAGGAGATCTCCATTCTCAAGGAGATTAGCCATGATTTGGCATATAGGGCTAAACACTATGTCAAGCTCCTCCAGAACGGTGAGAAATAAATTTCTATTGTTTAAGCCACTTAACTTATGGTACTTTGTTAAATCAGCCTGAACAGTAAAATAGAAGGCTATGTAAAATAGAAGGCTATGTAAAATAGAAGGCTTAAACTTGACCACCTAACCCTAGTATGAATTTATTTTACAACATCCATACCAAGTGGTCATCCAGCTTCCACTTAAATAGTTTACTCTGCATGATTCCATCCAAGGAATAAGCCATTTTATCTGCTTACTATCTGTATTTTAGACTTAGGTCAATTTTTAGAACTTTAAGAAATTTCAGTCAATGACAGGATAATGCACAATTACTGCAACATAAATGTGGTGCTCAAGAATCACACAAAACTTGTATTAAGTTGAAATATTCACATACTTGTTAATTTCTCCTCAATGGTCCCAGTTCTCACTGGCCTCCTCGAACCAAACCAAGCCATCCCTGTGCCACTTAACAATCCATTAGACATCTAAAGTTTCTTAAAATACATTAAAATGAAGCAAAAGTTACCCAAGAAACTATACATATATATATATATATATATACTCACATATGCAAAAAAAATTACAAACAGGTATCTCCTATCTAGTAATTATGATGATTATCTTCTAAAAGAAAATTAAGTTTAGAAGAGGTTATTTAGGAACTACTCACCATAAAGACCTTCTTAAAAGACACTATAGACTGAAAGAACTAGGGGCAACAGAATCATTTCCCCCATACTCTAACTTAACTTTTATGTCCAAAATATACTGCAGAGGGTCTTGGGTGCTCTAAGTACAGAATGAAAGTAAACCTCAGTGAAAGAGATCTTTACTGTGTGCCACACACTATACTAAGTGCTATAAATACAGTATTATAAAGCCCTCAACTATTTTATCAGATTGATTAGTACTAGAATCCTCCTTTTACTTCTAAGCAACCTGTAAGTCAGAAGAATTTGCAGGTTCAAGGATTTGCAACTTCAGTTTTACTCACTCAAGGTCAACAATTAGTAAACAACAAAGTTGGAATTCTCACTCAAGCAAAACTGGTTCCCAACAGTTCTCTTACTATCATTTTGCCATATTGCTTCTTAGTCATAAATAAAGTAGACACAATTCATCCCAAAAAAAATTGAGAAAAATTTCAAGTGTTCATGAAAGAGATTAAGTCGATACGAGTACTAAAATGTCTAAACAGGAATCAAATTCTCACAGAAAAAAAAAAAATTAAGAAAAAAAATATAATGAGTAGAAAAAGGTAACAGATGGTAAGAAATATCCTTAAATATTTCTCTATCACTTGTCAGGGTCTTACTCTCTGAAGGAATTTAATAGGATGAAATTACAAAGACACTCAAATCCCTCGCTCTTGAACATAAATCAAAATCACTCTCTTAAATATAGTTCCTCGGGCTTATCATAATCAGAGTACAAAAATAAACTATATATTTTCTTGGTAATTATGATTTTTAAGAATGTACTCGATTAATTTTTCTACATTTGTAAGCCAGTAACTTTTATAATGCTGAAAGACTTACAGAGGTCATTCATTACATTTTGATCTTACGGAGGAAGTGGCAATTATAACCACATCTATGTTTTTCATTGTTTTTTAAAAAGTTATTGTACTTCAGTTGGTGAGCAGAGACATATTTCCTAATTATAAAAGTGTATTCCACAACTACTTTCAAAATGATCTTTCCCTGAATAACAAGTAAAAGCTTGATTTACAACCCCCCCAAAAAAAGGAGGTAATCTATTCTCAGTACAGTGGAGCATATTTTAAATGGGTTTTTGAAATTAAGTAACTCCAAATGCAGAACGTGTATATCTTTTAAACGTTTCTGAATTAAGTATGCTATTTAATAAAGTTTCTTATGGCATATACAAGAGCAATATTAATAAAAGCTAAAATTCAAATCACATAATTAATGTGATCTGAATATTTTCACAATATGTCTAAAGTTGCGAGGAAAGAAAAAGGTGAAGAGGAAGAAAGGAAGTAAAGGGAATGAGAAAAGACGGGCAATCTGAGCCCAGAATACAGACTTCATCAAATGAGTTGAAATCACGTGGCTCAATTCTCTAATTTTAAAGAAAGGAAGTGAAGTTTAGAGAAACTTGATGATGTGGGCAAAAGCAGCAAATCAGTCTTATAAAAGTGGGGTTTAATCCATGACCAGCACAACTTCTGAGACCATCTTTAAAATATGGTGCCAGGGTCACATTGATAGAATGACGAAGTACCATAATCAAAATAACCCAAGTCAGGTATCCTACCCTATCCCCTTCAAAATAACCATGAGCTGTAAGTGCTGTTTTGCGGCCAATCAAGTTTCAATAGCTCTGCCATTCCCTTTATTTGTGGTCAGCTACAAGGTGCTGCATAATCATCTAAATTCGAGACACCCTTCCAGGCTCTTCCTAGCTTAGACTGGCACATTTGTTTATTCTACTTTAGTAATTGCAAAACATCTGGTAACTTTTAACAAATCGTGACCCCCTTTTGTGCCCCCAGAACAGGAATATAATATATATATCTCCTTCCTATGGCAAGCACTTGTGGCATTTCTCCTGTAAAACTTGGCATGTCATACTGATATTTTACTTTTGCAAGTTTATTTCATGTTGCATAAACTAGAATGTGAGTTCTTTAAAGGCAGGCACTCTCCAAGGGACTCTTATTTATACTCCCTTTCCCACAAAATACTCTTATTTCTGTGACTGGCAGCACACAAGCAGATTTTTCAAAGATATTTCAAGGACTTCAAGTCCACGCCATTAGGATATTTTTAAAGAAATGGATATGTAACTCTGCTTCTTTAAGGTTACACATAATATTAAAAACTATACTTCCTCAAGTAAGAGAGAAAAGTCTAACTTTTTGCTCACAAGAGTTCTTAATCTAGAGTCCACAGAGAGAATTCAGCAGTCTGTGAATCTGGATGGGAACACGTCCCCAATCTCTATGTAAAATCTTGCAATCAAGATTATAGACAACAGCAGTAATAGAAATACTTATGACTTTGTCACTAGTAGAAATTACAGGTATTTCCATATTAGAATTATTGCGAGCTTTGAAACAGAAAAAGCTCTCTTTAGGACCAGGAAGAGTACAGAAAGAGATTTTAACCTGATCATTTTCACTTGAAGAACACATGTATATTTAAAAAAAATAATGTTTTCAAATACCTATTAGTAATTAAAATGATTACAGGATTATCATTGTTTAAATACATAGGATCCTTTAACTGTATTTTCTTGATGTGTTCTTTCAAGACTTTTAAAAAAGAACCAAAACCATTAATAGGTAGAATTCATATTTAAAATAGTATGTAGGTGTTTTCCCTTCTAATTTCCAAAGAAACAGTTTCATCTACAAGAATACGGCTTAGACCTTTCCTGATCAACTATGCTAGTGAGAGCTGAAATGGCTTTTAAAAAATTTCAAAGGAAAACACAAACCTTATATATTGAAAGAAAGCTGTTTAAAAAAAAATTCTAATTAATTTACATTTTCCCCACTACTTCCTATGTAGGCCAGAAACTTAAAACAGGGTTTTTCCCTAAAAACATATTAAACAGTTCTATTATGTACAGAAGAAAATTTCCCTTAAATTGTGCCTAACGTGGGTTTTCATTTAAACTATAACTTTGCAGTTGTATTTGAATAATCATTTCCCCCAAAGACATATTTACCTTCAGCCAGTGCTGGTGATTCAGTCCTTGTCCCACTATCTGAAGAAAGAAAAAAGGAAAAAAGTCTGAAGCATTATCAAACTTTTAAAAGCAAGTTTAATTTTATTAAAACTAATTCGGGCTATAAAGTTCTATATGCTATGCTACCACAAATCACATGCATATGCTAGATATTCCAGGATTACCTCAACAACTACTTATAGAGGACTACTAGGAGTAAGAATTAAGTTAAAACCTGGGAAATACCACTAGGTGACAAGACCCAAGTTGTTACCCCTCAAGACATTCAAGGACTGGTAAGTGTGCCAAGAAAAGTACCCAGTTCACAATCAGAGCTTATCGAGCAGGAGGGTAAGAGAAGAAAAGTAGTAATTCCACTTTATTCTTGTAACAGGGACCTAAAATTATCAAAAGAGGCATATTGAGATCTTCTTATCACAATTTAAGTTCATTCAGTTTCAATGTATTAAATAATCAGTTTTACTACTAACATTCCATGACAGTAACTATTTTTTGTCAGAGGCACATTTGGCAAAACTCAAGGGAACCACAAAAATCCTCTCTAGGATTGGTTTTACTATTTCAAAGCCCAAAGCAATTTTAGGTTTTCAGATCTCAGTTAAATTTTCAGAATGAGTTTATTCTAGCTCTGCAACTACAATAGACTAGCCTAGTGCACTAGAGTGAGGAAACATTTGGCTAATGTAACTAATCAACTTCATGTGAAATTTCTTTAGCTGTTTAGTCTATAGCCAAGTCCTGGATCTAATAAACAGGTAATTTCTCTATATACAAGCGCCTGTGACATTTATGGGAATGAAGCACTGTCTTAGAAGACAGTAGGTGACTGGGCACACTGCCTTCCAAAAACTGCAATGAGGCACTGTATTTCAGGAACAGACTGAAATAGGAGGGGCAAACCCTAAACTCCACTGGATTAGAAACTCTGGTTATGAGAGAGGAGAGAAGGGGCTTCTGCCAGGAGACACAAGAATAATCTCTGAAGCAGTTAGTATTGCCTGGTCATTTTAGATGCCTTACTTAGGACCAACATGCTAAAGAAGGGGTTATCATGCTAGGGTTGTGGGGAACAGGTATCCTGCATACTGACCCTACCAACCTTGAGGAATCACAGCTGCTGCTCCCCAATGGGGACAGAAGGGTGTCCACAGAGAACCTGGGACTTAATTGAGGCTGCTATGGTGGACTGAGTAATACCATTTTGCAGCAACTATGGTCTAACAAGGATAAAGCAACTAAGTGCACTCATCACTTTAGGAAAGTGGTCTGTGTCACCCTACTACAAAAAAAAAAAAAAAAAAAAACCCTCATCCTGAGAAAGTTGCTGCAGAAAATTTAGAGTAAGTGGTAGAAGACTGGAATAATAAACATACTGCAATAATCCTCCTGTTATAAAGCTAACATAGACCTTGAAAACTTTGTTAGTAGGTTGGACTAAACGGTAAGTGTTTAAAGGAAGGTACGAGAAGGTGGACTGTATAAAACCAGCTCATATTTTCACTCTAGCTGAGGCACCCTCCCTGAGTTGCATTACTGGGGCTTACTTCCTGCTCAAGGGCTTTGCAGCAAGTCTAAAACACATAGAACCTAGAGTGCGAAAGTGTTAACAGCAACACCCTTTGGGCCACCCCTGACTGATGATAGGTGGGATCTGGTAGACAAATTCCCTCTTCTCACTCAGAGGCAAATTATTCACAGCTTCTCAGACACTTGCTCAGAATCAAGCCTCTGCTGCTCACAACAGTGACCAGGTCAACAATGAACCCCCGTGTTGACTTTCCTCCCTGTTTCACCTGCCCCAGTGCTCCAACTTCTCTCTCTTGTTAACATATACCCAAATACCATGTACCCAAAAACTACCGACCTCTAAAAGTCCCTGTCTCGGGCCTCCCCGGTGGCGCAGGGGTTGAGCGCTGGGCTGCGAAGCTGCCCACAGCCTCTGCAGCGCCGGTTCGATCCCAGGCCGCCAGCGAGGGTCCCACATGGCGCACAGACCTCTCCTGCCGCCCACTGCTCCCCTCAGCAGTGTGCTTCAGTCCTTCTGCCTGTTTTGCTCCCCGCTCTGGCTCTGGTGAATTCTCTCACCCTCCCGCGCTTCTGACTGTACCCAGTGCTTGTATAAATAAATAAACAAATCTTTAAAAAATAAATAAATAAAAGTCCCTGTCTCAGGCTCTGCTTTACAGACACTTGAACTTCAGGACACCCACTCCTTCCCTTTCATCTAACCTCAATGGATGCTCCTCCTTGATCTCCTTTGCTCACCCTGTCTTCTCTCAAACCCCTTGAAGCTGACATGCCCCAGGGCTCAGCCCTAGGTTGTCTGCTCCTGTGAGCTATCATTCTCTCTCATGACTTTATGCATCATCTGCAATTGGCAAATCTCTTGATTGATTCAATGTAGACATTTCTGTACAACTCCACACTAAGATAGCCACTGGGATGTTTTAACAGGTATCTCAAACTCAACAGGTCTGAAACTGAAATCATCTTCCCTCCCGAAAGCTCATCTACCTGTAGCTCCCCCCAATCTCATTTGAAAGCACCTCTATCCTTCCATTTGCTCAGGTGAAAACCGGGATTCCTCTGCAACTATTTTTCCTCTCGCATCCAGTATTCCACACCCAAGCTCACTACCTGAAATCTTCACACCTACTATTCAATCTCCTGTTAACCCAAAGTTGAAGACAGAGCTGCATTAGAAGTATTAGATCTAACCTGTATTAAAGTGTTAAAGATCCTCTAGAAGAGGGGTGGCAAATCTCAATGCTGGAGCCACATTTCAAGTGCTAACTGGCACAAAAACATGCATGCTTAATCTAAAGGGTGTCGCTGCTATTAACATGCCACCCTAAAAACGCAGGAGATCCCGTAGTGATGTTCATTATAATTTTCAGGTGCTATCAACTAATTTAAAATGTTTTAGAAACACCAAGTAGGCCAATAGAAATAGTTTAGGGGTAAGTTTGTTTTGGCTGATGATGAGTAGGAGCCATAACTACTACTCGAAAACTCCTCCCGGATCAATGTTACTACCTAACAAATGAATTTCTGCTTTTCCTGCCAATGAAAAGCATCCTTCTCTAAGGTCCACTTCAGTCACCCCAGAAATAAACAAAATAAGTGGCTTCGCTGGGTGTTTTCACAAACCAAGGACAAAACTTATGCCACTTGCAAAAACTATGAAGAAAAAAATCGATTTATCCTCTCTAATGCTTAATAAGCCAAAAAACAATAAAACAATTGTAACTGTGTTTATCATTAGAAACCAAATGTTAGATCATCAGTAGTGAATACTGAGTAATATGTAAATCAGATAATCCAAACATCTTAAAATGCACAAACCTACAGGTTAATCAAGTAAGTGTTAAAATTTTCTTGACCTCCAGCAAAACATAAAACATAAAGAGTTGTGACTTCAGAGCATTCTATCACCCACATTTATATCTTTGCAGCATTATAAAATGCTACATAAATCTAAGTGGTCACAAAACCTAGATCACATTCCTCCATTTTGGTATATGACACAATCTAATTGAATTCAATTTGTTTAAGCTCCCTAGACACACACAAATCAATCTTAAAGGTAATCTCAAAAAGACAAAAAGCACTTAAATTTAAGGGCCTATTACCATGATCCCCAATCAGACATACCAAAGTACATTATTATATAATTCCCACAAATATCCAAATAAGTTTTAAGAGCTTAAGACAGTTATTCTATAGTCATATGAGATAGAAACATCAAGTATTTAAGATTTTCTGGAAAGGAGGCGATGAGAAAGACTAATCCTACTCATTAATAATTAAAACAGTAGAACGGTATACAGTCAGGGGAAGAGAACAGAAAAATCAGAATAGATTCAATGCATATAAACGTAAAAAAAAAAACCACACAAACCATATATTTATTGGAAAGTTTATTTAATGTATACAGTACCAAAATAGATACCCTACGAGATGCTATGTGCCTCCCTCTAGAAGTATCTAGTCTCATTGCAGTGATTAAAATGTCCCAAGGTAAAAGTAAAGTATCGTGGAAATATTTACATGTAGTGCTGTGCCAACTAAGAGAAGGGTCCAGCGAGGGACAGAGCATGGAAATTAGACACTAGGAAATGTTGTATGAAGCCCTTGCAGCTGAAACAGATTATGAGAAATGATCAGGAATCAGACAAATAGGAAAAGGTAAAAGGTTCAAAGAGAATATTCCACATGAGAGATGAACAAAGTAATCACCATAGCACAATGATGAATACAAGTTTTATTTGATAAATAGTATTAAAATAATCCCATGGAAAATGGATTTACTTCTCAGTCTAACAATTCTAGATGGAAAAGACTAACTTCTCAAAACTAAAAAATGGAAAATAATACCTTACTAACAGGGATAATATGAAGCATTATAAAAATTTTAAATAGGGAAAAAACCTTGGATATTCAATAATAATTAAAAAAGAAAACCCAAAATGTTCGAATAGTTCATATAAATGTATAAAAATCAAATCAAGGGCAGAAAGATTACCACGATAACGTATAAGAGAAAGCTAAACAGTAAATGTACATATGAAAAATATTTATATTCTCTAAAATAATAAAAAATATGAGCAAAATGACTCAGAGCACCGGTTCTGGAATTAGATCTGGGTTGAGTTTCCACTTACTTAATGGGATAAAATTATCAGTCTCTTTTCCTTGATGAATAAACAGAGGTTTCAGTAGTTTGCCAGTTTCATGAGCGGAAGGGGAGGGAGAGATGGGCAGAAGGAAGGAGGAAGGAGGGCGAGAGAACTATTTTTCAGGAAACAACCCTATTCAAGCAGTAATGATTACAGTATTCCTTTCTATAAACCATGTTCTATAACATATTTTACTTCCCCACTAACTTCCGTAAAATTAAAAATGATTCCTTAAGAAGTATCTATGCCACAACAGCAAAACTGGAAAACTTGAAGCAAAGGCAGATAAAGATGGTCCCCAAGCTGTGGGGACCTCTGCAGAAACCTCCTTTTTTCTAA